TTTACATTTATCCTTAATATTTCTTCCAAAAAACAGACATCAAAATTAACAAAATATAAATCTCTATTAATACATTTCTGTCGTTGGCAAAACTCTGCAGCCGCCGATAATAATTGGGCACTTGCACTCTAAAAAGAAGACAACCAATATCCACGCATGCTACCTATGGCATCAGCACCAGCTTATTTTTATCGGCAATATGGATGCTTGAATTATTTTACTCGAATCTCAATAACGGATTACTGGTACGGACAATTTTAAGACTAGTTATTTTCCAGGTACAATGTATCAATATTCCAGGTTTTTGTAAAAAAATTGCAGCTTTCCCTGATTTTTAGAGTTAAAATAAAATTTCCTGACGCTTTAGCATAACAAGTGGCGTAAATCGACATAAAAAGAAAAGAAAAATCTCATTTTAGAAAAGGGAAAATTAAGCACTTTTTAAAAACACCAAATGAAAAAATGCAACTTTAAGGGGCCACGGTACCCGTGCAACATATTTTTTAAATAAAGGTGTAATCATTCATTTTGGGGATGCTTTACATGCTCATTTAACTTATATTCAATAATTTATCTTAAAAATAGTTAAACTGTTAAATTTTTAATTAAAAAAAAATTGAAAAAATTTAAATCGTAAGGCTTTTTTATAAAATTTTTTTCTTTCTTAGTGCTTACAATATTCATCTTAGTAATTTTGTGCATTCATTTGTAGATATATCAATTAGAACATTTTTTATAGATTATTTTGTAAATAAGTAGAAAAAAAAGGTTATGCTGTAAAAATTGCTATACCTCATTTATTCCATGCACAGTTTAAATAAGTGTGTTCAGATAAAAAAGTTTACTTCAAATCCCTAAGGAAGTATTTCAGATTGAAACACAAAATTATCACCCATGAGAAAAGGCACTATATAAAGCCTGTCTGCTGATCAAGTTTCTGTATCAGGGCAATCTAAAATCTTTTCATACATTTTTTAAAAATTAGACAGAGAAATGATTTCCTTCATAGTTGCCAACCTTAGGAATCAAAAATTTGGAACACTATATGCGACGCACCAATTACGAGAGCAAGACAAAAATTTAACTATTAAATAATAACATTAATAGACATATATTTATATATCCTATGTAAATTAATAAAACAAAACTATAAACACTATCTTTTGTGGGAAACTTATGATATTAATATTTTATAATTAGGAATACCGGTATAATAGATTAAAAACAAACATTACCTATTAATATATAATTATTTATCTCCAAATTATAAAACACAGGTAAATAATAATCTACATCATAAACAAATATTTCTGATGCAAGTGTTTAAGTACTACAATAATTTTTTTAAAAAATAATAATAGTTATTTAAGATTTAGTTTAGTGAAATGATCAGTGCGTAACAAAATCTTTGAATCAAAAATAAGCACTTTTTAAAAACTTTTCAAGCACTCAAAAAATTCATATTCAATCAATGATATTATTGAAAAACAATAACTTTTTATAAAAAGTTTTAGCGTTAAAAAACACCCAAAAAGAAACGGGCGTAAATCGAAAGAATCAGTACTTTCCCACATCACTGAGGGAATTCAACTTGACCCTTAACCCCTATGTCAAAAAAAGTGTTAGAAGTAAAATAAAATAAACAAGAATAAAATTAAAAAGAAAAACATTTCATAAAAATCTGATATTCTCTATCCGAATTGGAGCACTCTGGTTTTGGTTTCAAGTGTGCGCGCATGTGCAAGTCATAACGTGGGTACGACATGAAGTCCGCGTGAATGATTACGTAGCAAACTCCCCATTTTTCGAGAAATGCATGGGATCCACCAGATATCACTGAAGGGGGAAAAAAATTATTCGGAAAAAAGCACTTTTTAAAAACGCCAGCTGAAAAAAGCACCTTTAAAAGCTTTTAAAAAAGAAATCCTCAAAAAAGCACCTTTAAGTACTTTTTACAAACGCTACACACCCTGCAGCAACAGCTATTGAAATAGTATTTTCCAATAAAAAGCTACTAAAAATTAATTCTGCAAAATAATCACAGGAAGCGCGCTTGCGGCCATCAGAACAAGGGATTGGTTTAAAAGCAAAAAGACTGCAATTTTACGAAAATACGGATTTTTTATAAATTAGGAACAAACTGAAAATTCTGAACAGTTGGCAGCTATGTTTTCTTCAGTGCATATGAAATAGTTCGAAGTTTTATTGTAAACAATAATAATAATAAAAAAAAGATATATTGGGTACTGAGACCCCCTTAAAAAACGAAAATTAGCACATTTAAACACATTTTTTTAAAAAACGATATGGCATTTAGAAGGATAGTCTGAAGACACAAAATTGAGACAATGTTTTTTACTCAACTATGTTTATTAAAATACACAAAAACATGTTGCAGTTACAGAGATCCAAATTAAATGTGAAAAAGCTGACAACATGTTAGGGGGATAGCTACACAGTAATGAGTACAAGTATAGCTTTGCCTTTTTGAGTCATGAATAGAAATTCTATGTCGGACAATTATCAAAATTTTTTTTTTAATGCTTTTACAAAATGTAGTTACAAATTCGTAAAAACGGATGACTGCTTTATATAAAAAAGAAAAAAAAGTGTTTTACAAATTTATTGCGCACTACATTCAATAAACATTGTATTTCAACAGAGTTTTCAAAGTCTTATTAAATGCCCTTTTTTTTAAATATTTTTTAACTTATAGTCACTCTTCATTAAAAAAAAAGATACACAGAGGTTATAAACACAAAAAGGAAAAAAATTATTAAGACTAAAATAAAAGCCCGATTTGAAGCTTTGTAGAGTTACTCACTAGTTCACATACATTTAAAATATTCAGAAAAGCTAAAGCACATATGAAGCTTCTAAAACGAACACGTACCTATTTGCAGTTTTTTCCTATTTTTTTTTTTTTTTTAAAGACCACAACATGCAAGAACATACATTTTAAAAAAGTCCAAGAAGAATTAAAAAATTCATTAAGATCTGGATCTTAAACATATTAAGGGTGGCTCAAAACTCAATTAGATATCTAACATATTCATACAAATTAGTTTTTATGAATTGCAATTTATCATCTTTAAAAGTTGGAACTTCATATGAAAATTAGTATAACAAATAATGACACATTTTGAATATGACTGAAAAACTAGCTGAATTAGATTGACAGGGGTCTGTCTAGGTTTTTTTTCCCTTTTTTTTGAGAGGTACCTATTGTGAAAAATTTAGACATAATTTGTGAAAATTAAAAGTTACATTAAAATATCAACACCAAAATGGGGGAAAATAAGAAATTATTTTAAAAAATTATCACTACAAATAAAAATAATTTATGCCTGCCTGGTAAATTTCTATATTTTTTTCCCATATATTAAAAAAAAAATTGCTATTGTAAAATTTGAGCTTAAAATTGTAGCCAAATTAAAAAATCCATTGTCCATAGTTAAATTTCAACTTACTGCATATAACTGTACTAAAACTAAAAGTCATTTTCATTATGAGAACATTTTTGACTAGGTCACACAGAAAAAAGTTTCATAGGGCAAAAAATTTCATTAAAAAAATAAAGGCCTGAAGAATAAATTTATAATGTTTGAATGTTTAGAAATGATGTTCGAATTTTGACTTCCTATATAGTTTATAGACAAACAACCTCGTTTCATTTATAAAAAATAAAAAAACTCTGGGATTTAGTTATTTTATGGGGATATGAATACAAAATTTTAAGAGGCGGGGAATCTTAGAACTTGTATTTTTTGAAGTATTTTGTGAAACTATGGTTTTTTTCTAAAGTTGAATTTGTGTAGGTACAGCTAAACTGTAGTAAGTTTACACTGGACAGACCCCTGATTGACGAAATATAAAAAAACTAAATTTTGCAAGCAGGAATAAAGTTATTTAGGTTTTATGTGGGTGCCACTCTAAAAAAAACTTTCAAGACAGAAAGAAAAAGATTGCAAGACGGAACTTATATTTTTACCAACTAATAAGGTCTAGCGTTGTTTACCAGAATTGATAGCTCACTAACTTCAAAATACAATTTTCCATGATCATATATACTAATTGACTGAGAGCTTTTTCAGGGTGCGTAGCCATAACTTTCAACAAAAAATAAAGATCATTTTAATTCCTTTTTAAGCACTCAAAAATATTTTTCAGACTTTANGAATTTTTCAGTAACTTTAAAAATGCAAAATATTTTTCAGACTTTACATGATCATGATAAAAAAAAAACCAGTTCCTGACAAGAACTTTTTTCTCGATTATATTAGCTATCGTAAGATGACCGAGATTTTTCGGTTTCGACATCAGAGACTGGAAAATGAAGCCTGAAATTGAGAACATCAAGCAAAATGCGGCAGTTGCACAAGAGAGTGCAATAATCTCACCGAACCCAGCTCGGTAGACGCACATACGGACTATGAAGTATTTTCATCAAACACTTTAAATGAATGGCGCATTCATACGCTACGGACCGACAGTACGCCAAAATGATTTGTGGTTGAATGAATTGTGAAAACGTTGAATAGAACAATGTGAAAAACATAGTTGTGTAAATCAAAAATAAACACTTTCAGCACATTTTAAGAAATCTACGCCCCATGTTATTTTATCCAACAAAAAAAATTAATTTATTTATATTTTTTTATAGCAAACAGAAATAAAAAATTAATAATAAAAACAAAGGGGAAAGAGATTAATTGAATTACTTAATCTCAAGACAGTCCTCGGAGAAGTGAAGAGTTGCACCCATGTTTGTAATCCATAATGAATGAAAAGATTTAAACAACGGTTCAAGAACATAAATCAGTAGTAAATACATAAACGTACAGGACAAGAAATTAATTCCCCTAAATAGAAATTTGAGCCACCCATAAAAGTTCTGATGGAAAAAAGAAAAAAAAAACATATTGCAGAAAAAGATGAGAAATAAGAGAACAGCAGATCTAGGCAGAAGAAAATGAACTACAATAGATATACATAAGTAATAAAATACATCAACATTACATTTATTTCTGAGTACGATGATCGATCGGGGAGCCTTGATTATTTACACTTAAGGTAGAAAATAAATTCATTGGATAACACACTGTTTGTGGCCGTTCCTTATCTTCAATCGAGATTTTGGACGATACTTCTCCAAGTATTGCAACTGTTTGGCATTAATTGCACCCCTTCTCTTCCTACAAAAGATAACACAATCAATATCCAAACAATGAAACAAAATTATTACCATTCATTTATTCAGGGGTGATCAACTCAAAAATCCTGAAAATTTCATGAGTAAAATCATTAACGACCCATTTCAAAAAAATAAAAACCTCTGTATAAATTTAAATCAGTGATATTTTCAAAACACTTAGTTCTAAATAAATCATATGTAGCATAATTTAATTCTTTATATAATTTTTTAAAATTTTATCCCAGTCAATGAACAGATTTGATCCAACGTGCGTATCTTACTGTGAATGACTGATATAGGTGACGTTGACTTCCACCGGTAAATGTTGAGAATCGCTTTGGTAAAAGTCAGACACATTTAATTTTATAACCAACGTTGAAAAGCAGACCCAATTTCGGGTTTACGGCTTCTTATGTTCGACTCAGTAGCTTAGTCATTTTGAAGCAATCCAGGAGACAAGGAAACTCCTGGATGAGTTTCCCCAGAGGTATTGAGNCAGTAAAAATGTCTTCTTCATTGCTTGATATTTCAGAGGAAAGTGCAATGTTGACCACAGTTCAAAAATGACTTTCGGAAAAGTGAATCACATACGCGATTCATCCATCAAACTGTCATGACCCACCTGGACCTCCTAGACCGATAATCACCCCTTTTAACCACAAATTGAAGTGGAAAGGGGAAAGCATACCTTTTGTCCGACCCTCGACACTTTTCGTGGCATCTTTCTAAAATGTGTCTGCCGCTTGTAGTAAGAAACTAAGAGAGAGGGGAAACGCCAGGAGGGTTAATTTTAGGATTTGAAACCAAATTTCACTTTTGTACCAAAAATGAAGTTTAATCAGTCAAATATATGCTTGCTGATCTTTTTGGTAACTTCTTTATCCTGCGCTCATAGAATTTCTAGACTTTATCAGCAACAAACTCAACTAAGTGGTCATTGTTATTACTGAAATTACCACTATTTCAAAAGTTTCACAAACTTTGAAACAAAGAATGATAACAAGTTTCAGGTTACATGGGAAATTGCAGAGGAATAATTTTCACCATGACAATGTGAGACCTTCAGAGACAGCATGGTTCAAATATTACTTGTAAATTTCTATAGAAAAGTAAAATTGTCTGCTTTTCAAAAGAAAAATCTTTCTGCAAGAACTAACGTTCTGCGACAATGTCGCTGTGATTCTGCCACGGGCGAAACACAAGGTCTTTTTTTTGTAGTCTTGTCTACCGTTGCATGTTACCACTACTGCACAGCATATTCTTGACACTTTTGTGACAAAATATTGATTAATCTTGAAAAGTACATCTTTCAAGCACAAAAGGTTAAATAACACAAAGATTGAATTAAACTTGTCTTAGGAAAATTTATTTTAAATTAAATATCTGTTTAATATTTGAATGAATAAATAGAAATAATAAACAGACAAAAGTCAAATAATCGTTTAATTAAATTTAATGTGCAACACAAGAAAAATATTATATATACATAATAGAGGAATTTAAAACTTGAAAAAAATTCAAAGAGATTATGTATTCAATAAAAGATGAAATTCTTTAAAACTAATAGAGATAAGGGAATATTTTTTAGGAAATGTTTTGAAACATAAAAACTAGAAACAAAATAAAAATTACAACTATTTGAAATTAACTGAATCGCAATGTAAAAATATAAATAATGATGCCTTATTTTTATGCAGACTCTCATGTTATAATTAAAATAACTGTTTTCTTTAGTAAATCTTTTAAGCAAAATAAGTTTCAGCACAAAAATGAAATGATAAAGCTGTTTAAACTATAATTTCTTAAAAAACTGAGGTAGATTATTTATAAAAACTGTATAATAGTCCAAAAAGAAAAACTCAACTAAGGTGAGATTATATTATAAGAAATCGTTCAAAGTTTTTTTTTTCTTCATAAAATGTTTCACTACTTAAAAGCTTGATAATTTTGTTTAGTTTTAATAAAGCTTTTACAACCAATCAATTCAGGGATGGAGTTTTGGACGTCCTAAACTGGTTTTGGACATGAGGATTTTACTGTCCAAAACCTTGAACATTGGCAAAAATTCTATATGTGTAACCATTGTACACATAATAATTACATATATTAATAATTATTTAATACTTTTTATACAATTTGCTTTAACTTACGAAAGGAAAATAATATAATAGAATAGAAAAAGATTTATAACTTTTAAAGCTCCACAATTCATTGAACAACAAAAGTGAATATCTTATCCCTTAAATATGAATAAATATGCTTTTAACACTGATAAATAATGTTTTTGCATACGGATAAATAAATGCAATATTAAAAATAATAAACTTTTTTAATAAAAACAAAAACTTGTTCAACTTCTTGTTCAAAAATTAACCTTTTATTTTTCATGATATTTTTTAAAAATTTTGACATAATTTGAATAAAGGGGTTTTGGACAGGACGGTTTAAGCCACGGATTAATCCATTCAGTCCTAAACCTTGCCTACTCTGGATATAGTACAAGGTAGTTTTCATTTTATTTAGTTGTCTGCATTGTTATTATTATTAAATAAAGAACATATGTTAAGTTTTTATATTTAATTATGAATGTTGTTACTTTCCATTCTTTCATATTTTATAATAAACTTATATTAATAAGAAACTTTTATTATAATATTAATAATAGATATTTTTAATAAAACAAAAACTTTTCCTCATTCTGCTTTTTTTTTTAGCAAAAATTAACTTTTTATTTTTCACAATATTTTCTTAAAATTGTGACATAATTTAATTAAAAGGGTTTTGGACAGAACGGTTCAAACCGTGGATTAATCCATTCTATCCTAAACCTTTCCATTTCTGAATAAATTTGTTTTAACTATATTCAAAATACTGAGCATGATTAATAATAAATCAAATAAATTAATTATTTACATACTTCGGTTAAAATAAAAATAAATATTTGACCAAAGTACTATTTGTTGCACCAATAGAAGCACTTTTCAGATAAAAATGAGTTTCTTGAGATTTTTAGAGTAAAATTCTAAACATAGATTCTTGTCATTTAAAGAAGCACAATTGTGAACATAGTTTATAAATTTATTTACATCTTTTTATATGCACGAAGAACTTCTGATAAATTCAAAATGAATTTTTTTTTTTAGAAAACCAGAACTATTTCCTACCTAAACTTCTATGGTAAATAAAAATGTGTTTATTAAATTTAATTTAATTGTATAGATGAATTTAAATTAAAAAAATAATTCTTTAATAGAAAATGGAAGTAACAAAATTATTAATTGCTGATACAGTACAGAACCCGTTATCCGGAAATCAGAAAACCGGAAAACCAAAAAACCGGAACGAAATTCGATAAATTTTTCCGCCATTTTAAAAAAAAAAAATCTTTTTCCTCATAAGATTTTAGGATTTTTCTTTCTATTTTGAAAGATCATTACCTTACCATTATTTTGGAAATAATCTTTAGTGTATTACTTCATTGTTTTTTCTTCTTTTTAAGATTATTTCCAATAATTTTTTATTTTTTTTAGTTAGGTTTAACAATAAAAAAAAACGGCTTTTTGTAGCGATACAGAAAACCGGAAAAATCAGTTATCCGGAATAGCGATGGTCCCGATCGTTCCGGATAATAGGTTCCCTACTGTACTACTAGGGAAATCATTGTGTATTCTAAGAATTTAGCAATTTTTTTTTCTTTTTCAGAGAGTTTCTCAAATCAAATATCAAACACTTGATATGGCAGTATTATAAACATTTTCTCATAAATTTAAAAAAAGAAAACATCTATTTCTCAAGATAGTACTATGAAAAATTCTCAAATCTCTCTTTTGTGAATCGCAATGTGCGATTTTTAAACTACTAGAATGAAAATTGTTAGGCATGATTCTGAAATTACTTAATTACGTATCATGTTATATGATTCAGAAATAACTTTAGTTGGAATCATGATGTGTTAATCCTGATGAATAATTTGAAAATCACTTTAAAGTAATATTCAATATATGATTCATAAATCACTTTCATAGAACATTTTATATGAATTCCGATCCGTAAATCAAGAATCAGTTTAATGTGAATCACAATTTTTATTCATACTCAATGAAACCTGTAAAACTAAATTTTATTAATTAGCAGTAAAAACTAAATGTAAAAATTTGGTTATAAATGATTAATTAAAAACACTTCATACGTAAATTAAAAGAACAAATAGGATAACAATATTAACCTGTTGTAATAACGAAGTAAACACATTGAGCATATTTTGAAATCGATTAAGCACTATATATCAATCGAAAACTATGACTACAAACTTAAAACTTGTTAGAAATTTCAGCTTTCAAAACATCAAGAGAGATGAACAATAATCGGGTGTGAAAAATCTAGGAGAGAAAAGTTTTGCATCTTTTCACTTCAAGCATTAAAAATTGTACCTATCAGAATTTCTATAATTTTCCTTTGAATTTATTTATTATTTTTTTACTGCTTTTTTGCAAGATTTTTTCCCCAAAAAATTCAAAGACTTTCAAGGTTTTTCAAGTACCATGGGAACCCTGTGGTACAAGATTCAAAAGAGGATATGCTGTGCCAAACAGTATGTTAATGCAGATTAAAATGTAAAATGCACACTACAATTCTATTTTTGGACATGGAAAATAGTTAACAGTTAGAATATATTTAATAGTCAATAAAATCCTATAAAAGGCGTAGTTATATAAAATACAAGAGATAGGTAAAATGGTGCACGGATAATAACAGAACTGACATTTAACAGAACGATAATGAAAAACTGTAAACAGAACTGAAACAAATTATTTATAGAGTACAAATTTAACTAACTTACTGTCTTATCAATTCTACTGCATCTTCATACTTCATTCCCAACTCAATTAAAGCCAGTGCAACCAAAACAGGAGCTCTGAAAGGGATAAAACAAAGCATAAGAATTTGAAAAGAAAGCTCAAAATATCTATTTGAATTAAAATTTTTATTTGAAAATTTGAAGAACTATATTTTTCAAGAACTAAAAAAAGAGAAAGTAATTATATTTTTGTCACAACAACAACAAAAAAAAAGTGTATCTGATACGCTTTTTCATTTTAGGCGTGACAAACATATAATTATCTTTTTCTTATTTTTAGTATACAGGGTGCGTAGCCAAATATTTCAATAAAAAACAAGCACCTTTTAAGTAAATTTTAAACACTCAAAAAACATTTTTAAGCGCTATATACAGAAACAAAATGCAAAATTATGTTCAAAGATTTTACATGATCATGACAAAATAACTAGCTTCAGACATAGAATGCTTTTCTTGATTATATTAGCCATTATTAAAATGATCAAAAGATTTTTCGGTTTGATATCAGAGGGTGGAAAATGAAGCCTGAAATAGAGAATATCTTGAGAAATGCAGCAGAGTTGCATATGAGAGAGCAATAATCTCACCGAAACCAGCTCAGTAGATGCACAAGCAGACTCACAAGTATTTCATCAAACATGTAAAATGATTCGCGCAAAATGTAAAATGATTGAAAACGTTGAATAGAACAATTTGAAAAGCACACTTTTGCATAATACGTGGTAAGAAAAAAAAATCTCATTTTGGAAAAGAGAAAATTAAGCACTTTTTAAAAACACTCAATGAAAAAAAGCACCTTTGAGGGCTTTTAAAAAACGGAAATAAGCACCTTTAAACACTTTATAAAAACGCTATGCACCACTGTATATCTTAAATATATAGTCTTTTAAATTTCTATTTTATTTATCAGTAGTTTAAGTCAGATGGTCAAAATATTGTTAGGCAATAAAAGATCAAATTTTCCAAAATTGAGATCAAATTTTCCACAGCATTTAGAATTTTTTTTTTAAAATTTCTATTGTTATCAGGCACAAAGCTACATTTAAATTTTGAGCACCCTAGCAAGTATAATCATAAAATCTATCTGGCGATAATACTGTGATAATTTCTACCATGAACTAATTCAAATGAATATTTTCTCAACAACAGAGCTATAGATGATCAAAAGTTTGATCATAAGATACCAGCCTCAGAGTAAAAATACAATAAGTAAATTTAATTAAGTAGGTAAAAAGGAGAATTATCTCTTCTAAAATATGCTGATCAGCATAAAACTGAAACCAGCTTTAGAACAGTAAAAAGAAAAATTATTCATAAACTAACGCGCTGCTAATCAGCAGATTTTTCTAATTTTATCTAAAATACATATAGCCTTGAAGAACTAAGCAAAATTAAAGTGTAGATTTTTATTACTTTCAGGATACCTGCTACATTTCAGATTTTCAAATTCAAGATTTTCCACGACTTAACGAAGTTGCTATTTTCTCCGACAAAAACGCAACAATAAATTTAAAAAAGCATTATAATAACATTAATTGAAATGATAGGTATAACCATAACTGTTATACACTGCATCTTCATATTTATACATTTTAAATTTGAAAAACAGAGTAAAGAAAGAGTTGAAACAATAAAATAGCTGAAAAAAATACAATAGCAAATAATTTCTTCCCTTTTTTTCTGCAGAATTTTATTCTAAAGATACTTTTCTTGTTCATCAGAAAGGAAAGAAATATTCCTCATTTTTCTGTTCTCATTTCAGAATGAAAAAAAATTCGCCAATGACTGGTTTGCTTCAACTAGAATTTTAAATTGATAAAATTAAAAAAAATAATAATAAAAACCAAAACTGTTACACTCTGCATCTTCATATTTATACATTTTAAATTTAAAAAATAGAGTAAAGAAAGAGTTGAAGCAATAAAATAGCTGAAAAAAATGCAAAAGTAAATAATATTTTTCTTCTTTTTTTCCAGCAGAATTACATTCTAAAGATACTTTTCTTGTTCATCCGAAAGGAAAGAAATACTTCCGATTTTTCTGTTCTAATTTCTGAATAAAAAAATTTGCGGAAATCAAAAATTCTCTTGCTTCAGATAGAATTTTAAATGGATAAAATTATAATAAAAAAACAACAAAAATTCTGAAATTACAGAAGTTTATAAAAGATAATTTGCCCTAGAAATGTTTTTTCTTTTCATTTTTTGGAAGAACATAATCTTTAAAGAACAGAATAAAAGCATTTTATATTTTAATAAAATATGACTGAGTGGGGATTTTGTTACAAATTTAGATCACATTTTAAAAATTAGATTTTTCAGCAACCTAAATCCATGATTTTTTAAAAAATAAATAATTAAAATCGTGACATTTCATGACAAATTTTGTTCAATACAGAAATTCATGACTTTCCAGGTTTCGCGGATACCCTGTATTTAGGAACTGCAAACAGTGTTGTAAAAACTTACCGCCCAAGGCCTGCAACACAGTGAACAGCTATGAAGCTGTCAGGGTAGTCTCGAAAACGTGTGCGGAGGAGATCAAACCAATCGTCCACTATCTTTGCAGGAGGTGGAAAGCCATCATCAAATGCCCAATCCTGTTAAATAGAGAAAAATTGTAAGAAAAGAGATTCACATTATGATAGTGTTAAAACACAAATTAACCTACCAGTACTCTGATTCCTTCAGTCTCCAACAATTCAGTGCTGTAAGTAGGTTCACAGACTCTAACAACATCTTTCACATTCCGTTTCCTCAACTCCTAGACAAAGTTTAAAAACAAAATTTAAGATAAAAAGAAAAGCAGCCAACAGGAAATGTAGTTGATAATACAATGCAATAAAAGGTTTAGTGCAAACAATTCACACGAGAAATTAAGGATTTTTTTTTAGTAAGCAATAAGCATGGGTGATTGTGAGCCCAACTCAAAAATCCTGAAACTTTCTTGAGTGAAATCATTAATGATGCATTTCAAAAAAATTAATGTCTTTATAAATTCAAATTTATGATATTTTCAAAACATGGAATTCTAATTAAATTATATGCAGCATAATTTAAATGGATAATAATGTATAAGTTTACTTTTGTCAAATCACATTTACTATTATACTTGAAAAAATATTTACAAATCAAAGATATGCCCAGTATAAATTCTAGTTCTAATATTTCTAAATAAAATATACAAGAATTTTTATGCATAAATGTGATGGATGATTTCTTAAAACTTCAGGACATTAGGTTTCTGAAAACTTCCGGATCGCGGTTAGCAAAAAGTCCGGAAATACGGATTTTTTCCAGAGCACAATCATCTCTGAATAAGAGAAATAAAATAAGAAAATTATATTACACTAACTACACTGTGGAAGAATTTTTTCGGGCTTCTAGTCATATACCTCTCCAGTACTAATATCTTTCTGCCAGACACTTTTAATAATAACAAATACACATGTTACTAATTTAAAGTAACAGAAGTGCCAAATTCAAAAAACTTTTCGGATAAAACAAAATAATTTTTTTAAATTGAACATGTAATATTTATTTTATTCTACTATTAAGGGCAATATTCTTCTCTCATATTGTAGGGAGAAAACACTAATTATTTCCTTTTTCAAGGTGCGTTGCAAAATCTTTCAACAAAAAACAAGCACCTATTAAGTATTTTTAAAGCACTGTATATACATTAACAAAATGCAAAATAGTTTTCAAAGACTTTACATGATCATGATTAAAATAATTAGTTTTTGATAAAGAATTCTTTTATTGAATATATTAGCCACCATAAAAAGATAGAGATTTTTCGGTTTTATTTCAGAGGGTGGAAAATGGAGTCATAAATTGAGAATATCTTGCAAAATGCAGCAGATTTGCGCATGAGAGTGCAATCTCACCGAACTCAGTTCAGTAAATGCACATGCGGACTCACAAGTATTTCATCAAAGATGCAAAATTATTGGCGCTTTCATATGCTACGGTGAAAATGTTGGAAATGCATTGTGAAAACGTTGGATAGAATAATGTGAAAACCAAGCATTTGCAAATGTAATAAGCAGCGAAAAAAGACACGGTAAAGAAAAAAAAATAGTTTTTGAAAATAGAAAATTATGCACTTTTTAAAAACACCCACCAAAAAAGCACTTTTAAAGCCCTTTAAAAAAACGGAAAATCAAAAATACGTTTAAGCACTTTTTAAAAGCGCCACGTAACCATGTTTTTAGCATTTTGTATATCATCATGACATTAAAAAAAAAAAACATAATATATTTTGAAATCTATAACTAACAAAATAAAAGATTGATTGCAAAATCACTCGAATCGGACTCTTCAAAAAGGGGTTACTAAACACGGGCTTTCATTTTGAGAATAAGATGTTGCAATAAATAATATCGTATTAAAAATAATGACTTTAAAAAACTATGAGAATCAATAGTAATAAATGCATTAAAAAACAGAATTCAGCAGAAAAGAAAACAAAATTTTTTACTTCATTATTCTTAAATGAGAATAGAAAAATTATAAGCATTTTTTTCCCATTCAGATGCGTAAGAAAGGCATTTTTTCAAATAATTTTGAAAAAAAAAAAAAAAAAAAATCTTTCGAAAATTTCTGAAATTGCTACAATTCTGCAACAGGATTAACTACAAGTTTAAAAGCAGCAATAGTTAAAGCAATAAAGTTCAATCTTTTCCCTTTGGCCTTGACTAAATGAACTATAGTTGAGTACCTAGAGGCAGAATCGTGGCGATACTTCGACATTGTGGCAGAATATTACAGATTTCTTACAGAAATTTTTTTCTTTTGGGAAGTAAATAATTTTGGTGGTGTTTTCTGCAGAAATTCTTATCAAACTGCCATACATATTTATATATTGTAACTTCGACGTTTCCGTTTCTTTAAATTAGTCACATGTGTAGTTATTATAATTTTAAGTGTCTTGCAGAGAGATATTAGAGCTAGTCCGGTTCGTCGCAGAAAGTTTAAAAAAATTCTGCCACAGGGATTGAGTATAATTATTTAAGATGCTTATTATATAAATAAATCACTTTTATATATAAAAATATTTAGTTCATAACAGTCGTTGAACAGCTGACATACCATGAAACATACTTTTTTCCCAACGGATTCGGATTTCTGACCCCAGAAACATACGGGATATTATTTTATTTCATAACTGTCGTTGAACAGCCAACCCAATTTTTTAGGTTTACGGCTACTAACGTTCAGCTCTGTAGCCTTGTGATTTTGAACCCAATCCAGAAGACAAGGGAACTTCTGGGTCAAGTATTGTGAGGAATTTGCCTTTGTGGCGGACTTTTTTGATGGAACTAACCAGCATTTGCGTTACATGGTGAGGAAGATCACGAGAACCTCCCACAGTTGGCCTGGCGGCAAAGGGACTCTAGCCCGTGATGCGTCTACCACTGAGGATATTTTACGTCAAAACTGCGGAAGATGTGAGCCGGGTAAGGAATTCGTATTGACCAGTCATCGCTGGGGATTCGAACCAGGTTCACCTCATTGGAAGGCGAATGCTCTATCCCCTGAGCCATCGCCGCTCAGATAAAAATATTAAAATAAGTATTGACAGTCCTAACACATCTTTGAACAACATAAGGTAGCAATTTTAATTATAACACAAAAAGAATCAGTTTCTTCCAAGAAAAGAAACTTTTTCAAGAAATACAAAATATAAATTTTTTTTAAAAAATTCTTTATAAAAGCAATCTAGTTTAAATAATATTTATTTCCAAGCTATTTAAGATATTTTTGAATACATAAAAAGTAAAAAACAACAACAGAAATTTTTTTTAAAAATAAATTTAAAAAATCCAAATAACTAGTCTTTCAGAACTTCACATAAAAGTATAAACTTATTTCATAATTACGTAACAAAGTGTTAAAATAATAAAATTTATTTCAATTAACAAATTGCATACTAAACATAATACATACACTACTACAAATCACATATTTAATTAACAATTATAAATAACATAAAAAATTTTATAATTCAATACTGTTACTAAGTATTGCATTCATTTTCAAACGCCAGTGAATTCGATTGAAAATAAAAAATGTTAGGTATGGAAGTTTTAGAACATCAAATTTTGCTTACAAAGAGCACCAAGTATTACAATTTTACTCATTTTTGTGCATTAAAACAAAAAATTTATCAGCTCTTTTTTAGTCTACTGTATTGCTTTTTTTGTGTACTATTGGTATAGATTTTTATTTTATTTAACAATCTTCCTTGAACAGCCGACTCAAATTTCTAGGTTTATGACTACTAATGTTCAACTCCGTAGCCCTGTAATTTTGAACCTAATCCAGAAGACAAGATCATTCCTGAATCAAGTATTGGTAGAAATTTGCCTTCGTGCCTACTTTCTGATAGAAGTATCTCGCATTTGCGTTACATGGAAAGGGAAACCTCCCACATTAGCACGGAAAAAAAGTTATTTTTGCTCTGCATTGGCAGCGACATCTGGTGACAGTTTTTATTATGAGGACTTGGGACCGGTGTGCCTGAAAGAGGTAGTTAATTTATAAAATGTAAATCGCACTCCCAAAAATTATAGCAGGGGTCTGTCTAGGTTTTTTTAAAAGGTACCTATTTTGTGAAAATTTAGAAATAATGTGTGAAAATTAAAAAATCAACCACAACATGTACACAATATCATTTTAATTAGTATTTTACTAAGTACTCAGGACACTTAGTATATTGAGATAACAGTATACTGAGACAAATTTTTAATATTAACATACTCAGACAAGTTTCGACGTCGTACTTGGTTAATACAGAGTAGTTGTAAAAATAACAAAAATTTAGAAGTATAAATTAAAATGAATATTTTTAGAGATGAAAAAAAGAAATATATATTCAAACATAAATTTATAGCAAAAAATACATAAAACTACAATCAACTTGAATAATAAAATTCGTTAAAAATAATGCTATTCATCTCTTGTTAAATTAGGATAAAATTTAGAATTACAAATATAACTGGGCAAAAGTGACATTTTAAACAGAGTATCTTGCATCTACATTTTCAAAAATTACACAAGATTTGCTTTGTATATAAATTTTGAAAAAAAATCAATTATATTTTTTATCAAACATCATCTTAAAAGTACTAAGATCAAAACATTAACAGGCATAAATTTTGTAGATTATGTTTTTAACACTTAAATTTCCAACATTTAATTAAAATTTGTGTGGTACAATGCCAGGCCAATGGTGACAAAATATTTTTAATGCCCAATTTTTATTTTTAAAATATTAATAATCAGGGTTGGCAAGATTTTTCCACAGATGGAAAAAACCATGGTAATAACCAGGGTTTGTGATTTTTTTGATTTTCTTAAAAAAAATAAAAAAAAATTGGATTATTTTGATTTATATCGGATTTTTTTAAAATTAAATCAGATTTTTTTTTTTTTATTCAATTACACTATAAGAGCTTTAATTTATGATTAAAAAAATATTATAAATGCTTAATCAAAATTAAATTAATATTAAAACTATATTATAACAATATTTTAGAAGCTCTAACTTACTAAAATAATTTTTCATTATAATGCATAGCGACCATTTTGATACAAGGGCATGATTGAAATTAAAAGAAAAGATAAAATAGATAATTCAAAGAATACTACTTTAACTAGTAACACAAAGTTTCAATTAGCACACCATAATTTTAATTTAAAATTGCGATCTCTTTTTTCTTCCTCATATAAATGCAACAGATTGTGTTTATAAATGTT